AGAAAATCTTAGTGAACTGCCCCTCAGAAAAAGGACTTTTGTCTAAAACATATAAAGAATTTTAAAAAAATCACACCCCCAAAATTCAAAGACCCAATTCAGAAATGGGCATCTGAGATGAACACACAATTCTCAGATGAAGAAATCCAAAGGCGGGGCTGGGGATTTAGCTCAGCGGCATAAGCGCCTGCCTTGCAAGCAGGCAGTCATGAGTTCGATTCCTGGTACCAATAAAAAAGGAAAAAGACAAAAAAAAAAAGGTATAGAAATACAAACGGCAAATAAATACATGAAAAAATGTTCATCATCCTTAGTCATTAGATAAATGCAAATTAAAACCACACTGAGATTTTGTCTCACTCCTGAAAGAATGTCCAAGATCAAGAAAACCACCACCAACAAATGCTGGAGAGCTGTGGGGAAAAAGGAACTCTCCTGCACTGTTGTTGCGAGTTTAGACTGGTGCAACCATTGTGGAGGTCAGTCTTGAGATTTCTCAGAAAGCTAGGATTGGAAGCCCCATTTGACCCAGCTATTCCACTTCTAGGTATATTCCCATAAGAACTGAAAGCATCATACCACAGTGATATATGTGCACCCATGTTTATAGCAGCACAATTTCTAATAGCCGGACCTTGGAAATAACCTAAGTGTCTATCAATTAGGAATGGATAAAAAAAGTTGTGGTATTTTTATACAATGGAGTACTACTCGGCTATAAAGAATGATCACATTGAGATATTTATAAATAAATGGACGTAGCTTGAGACCATACTCATAAGTGAAATAAATCAAACTCACATGTATAGTTTCCCTAGTGTAAGAAATGGTAAGAATACATAAAATACCTAATAGTTTCCCTAGTGTAAGAAATGGTAAGAATACATAAAAGTATGTGGTAATCATGATTCCCCATTATATTGCTTTGAAGCTTTATAATGTTTTCATTCATTAAGTGGAATGGTTTTACTTTATTCTGGGTCGTTTGATTTTATTGTCTGTGATGGTATGAACAGCTATTTTGAAGAAAACAAGACATCCTTATAGCTAGTGCTGATTTAATATCATCTTGTTTTGAAGACCCATCAAGCTTTAGTTCTGGTGTCTCCATCGGTCTTATCATGTTGTATCTTATTGGATTTTATTATATGCGATAGTGCAAACAAAAATTTTTATAGACAAGGAGATAATATAGAAACCATTGTTCATTTTCTGTTAGTTGGTTCTAAATACCCTGTAATACTTTCATCCTCTTGAATGGTTTCACACTGTCTTGATATGCTTGATGCTACAGTATACGAAGTTATACTCAAATATTTCATGGAAAGAGGCACTATGGTAATTACTGTTATGCTGGGTTATCTTGTGGTGAAACACTGTTGCTTAAATTGTTCTGTTCTGACCTGTGCTGTTGTGTTATGACCTCTTTTATCTCAATCTCCTTCTTTTATTAATTTTTTTAATTGTTTAATTAAGAGAAAAAATAAATTTAAAAAATAGCAGGATATATTATAGTAACCATTTTGATTTCCTATTAACTTGATTTGAAGCCCTGTATTGCTCTCACCATCATGTTTTGACTGAATTTACTCTATTCTGTTTTGCTTGATAGTATCAAGTTTGAGGACATAGGCAACTACTTTGAAGACACTAAGATTCACTATGATGCCCATTCTGGTTTGACTATTATCATCTTTTGAAGTCCTATAATGTCTCCAATGTTTCAGTCTTATTGGTTTTGTTCTGTACTGTTTTATTATAACCGATGATACAGGCAATTGTTTTTAAGATAGCGAGAGGCATTATGGTAACCATTGTTGATCACCTTGTATTGTTTTTATATCATGTACTATGTCCATCCTTTTGATTTGACTGATTCTGTTTTGTCACATTTGGTTTTATTCTCTTCAAAAAAAAGTAATAAGAACTGTGGGAGTAATAAAACCCAAAATGTGTAATTGTTATTGTAAAAAAAAGAGAGACAGAGGAAAAGAAAGTGTTCTAAAGGATATAACTGCATGTATATTTAAATGTGTAAGATAGATAACCATATTACTAAGTTTTTGTTGGATCACTGAACAGAACTGTTTGCAGTCTCACTGTTTGAATGTCCTCTTTGTATGCTTTAATTGTGTAACTTGAGCAACTATTTCTAAGATGACAATATGTAATTTATTAACTAGTGATTTCTTACTGTTTATTTTTTTTGAAATTCTGTTTTACTTGTACTCTTTTTTTTTTTTTTTTTGTCTTTAAATAAAATTTTTTTAAAAAGAGAGTAAGGGGCTCTACCTGACCTCAGCTTTGTTTCTTTGTTTTCTCATCCTCTTGGGGTCCTTCATCCCAAGAACCTCAAGAGTTGCACAGTTCCAGCATCATGGAAACTATGATTATGAGCAAATATAATAAATCACAGGAATCAAGAAATAGACTTAAACATGTTAAAAGCTTGGTCACCAGACTGTGGCATTACGGGAAGGTGGTGAAACATTTCAGAGGTGGAATTGATGGGGAGTGACTAGGTCATTGGCCATGTTCCCTCCAGGAGAATGTCGGGATCACACCTCCTCCTTTCTTTGCTTCCTGGCCACCGCATAATGTGGGAGAATGAGTTTCCTCAGTAGATAACTACATGTATCCTAGCGAAAGTACTGAGAAATTGGTGAAATTGGAAATATGGTTACAATGGATTACAAGTTCAGAGACACAGACAGTGCACCTAGAAGAATGTACCTTACAAAAGCCTCACAAGGTATTAGGGTAAAACAAGATTAAGAAGAAATCTTGTATTTATTACTGTTCCTAAAGATAACAAGAATAACAACTAAATTCTGCAGGCTTCAAGTTCCCAAATGGAACTTTGTTTCTATATTAGCAACTTGGGACACCAGGCAGTGTAATAGCTCTATTAATAGACACAAAAGCCTGGAGTATTTATTGAAGGCAAATTACATCAGAATTACTGGATATGTCTGTTGATTATGAGAAGCCAGGGTTAGATGGAGAGGAATAGAAAAAGAGAGTCACATGTATTTCTTAAAAATTAATAGATTATCCAGATTCTCACTACCCCTGCCTATCTTGCAACCCAAATCACTCTTAAAACTGCTGAAGACTTGGTTATCAACCATGGATAAAAAGTCCACACACTGTTGCTTCAGGTGTATCATTATTTCTCCCCAATCACCACCCTCAGCTCCCAAAACCTTTGAGATCAGGCACCAAGGGCCCCAAAGCTTTATTCTGTCCTGACACAATAAAACTGTACCACACCCGATCACACAAGAAATTGACAAGTTTCACCTTGAAGAGAAGATCATGAAAAGATTCCTTGCAGACAAAACAGAAATTAATACACAGTGAAAAATATAAGAAAGTTCAAGGACATAGGGAAACAAAAGTAAAATATTTCATGCTCCAAAGTCATATATTTCCCAGGGAAATAGAAAATAGTCATCTGTTCAAAGTAAAGGAAAAGGGGCTGGGGATTTAGCTCAGCGGCATAAGCACCTGCCTTGCAAGCAGGTGGATGTGAGTTTGACCTCCGGTACCGATAAAAGTGAAAAAGACAAAAAAAAAAAAAAAAAAAAACCAAAGTAAAGGAAAAATAAATGGATCCAAGCACTTGAGGAAAAAAAACCTGAAAGTTATCACAGAGATTAGGAAAGATGCAAACAATAAAGGAGGAGAAGTAAAGACTGAAAATACTATCAAGATTAAAAACCATAAATCTGTTACCGACCACTTTAGCAGTTTTACATGCAAAACTGTCAGGAGATCACAGTACAGTCAACTATAATACCGAATACGCACTACAAGAAAGTAGTCAAAGGATGCTGCCTCAGAAAGGACATTTTAGACTCTATAGATAAAAGACTCAAATTTTAGTGAACAAAAGTTAACAAGGCTTAACAAACACAAGACACCTTCCCCAAGGAAAATGTAATGCTGAATTGATTCCAATAGTTTCAGTGGTACAGAAGAGAGGGTGGAGAATATCTATTAGCAGTCTAGGAGTCTCTTGTATTGGTAAAACACTCTTGTGACAGTGACACAACTTAAGTGTCACCAAGAGCAAATACTAAGAGCTCATCAACCTTTAAAAGAGTGAATTTCTATGATATGTCAATCATATGTCAATAAAGCTGTTTTTAAATATATATAAGTGGTACGTGCATATTGTTCCTGCGGTTAATTTTATCCAAACATAATATTAAAACTCGTCATAAAAGTTTTCCTAAATCTATAATCCTAGCTAACACCAACATCCTAGCCTTAACTTTTAACCAGTTTAAACAACACATTTATACATTTTAATCAGTTTAAACAACACATTTATACTTTTAATCAGTTTAAACAACACATTTATACACGTTTCATGTTAAACTCGTTAAACCAAACATATTCAACTGAATTTCTACAGAATTATATTTAGTAAGTGGCATAAACATTCGAAACAATCAAGTTGTATTCCAAATTCTCTCGTATGCGTACATTAATGTCTAGGTAGGCACTCGATAAATCGACGCTTAATATTTTACTCAGCAACAAGCTGTCTTGTGCTTTTTGCACAATAAAATGCCTTACTTGTCTTCACTGCGTCTAAGGATGCAACATCCAAGTCGAAAAAACACTGCATGGAAGCAAAAAATCACAACAGCATCTTTTTGAATAAAGAGATGATTTGAAGGTGAAGAATTCAAGAAAAGATTTACCCAGAAATGCCACCTCAAGAAAGAAGCCAGTATTAGCCACTTTCTCTTCATCAGTCAATAGTAATAAAAGTGTTTGTGAAGACAGAGCTCATAAACGCTGCCCTAGCTATCACCGGCGAGCGCAGCAGACTGGCCCTAGGCCCGGCCTCCCTGGGCACCAGCGCAAAGCAAACCCGCTCCGCTCCCCGCCGTTACCGAGATCTCAGAGCTAGCGGGCCGGGAACCCACCAGGTGGGGACGCAAGAGTCGGCCCGACCACAGACCCGCTCGTCTCCAGAGACTAACCTCAGGCCCGGCTCTCAGATTTCTCAAGTTCCGTGCTTTTCTCGCCACAACACCCACTGGCCTGCTTTCCTTGCTCTGCCTCCGGCTTCCACCGCAGACGATATACCCCCAATTACCTGATAACCCGCGACTCAGTGTTTACATTCCGCGTGCCCTTAGGTCACCGGAAGCGGAAATCATCCCTTCCGACTTATTAAAGTACCATCCTGTTTGCTGCCTGGTCTCCTAAGAAACAGGCTGAGCCTCCATGTAGGCGTCCAGCTGTCCAGAGGAAGTCCAGAGAAGAATGGATTGTTAAAGAGTATTTCTTACCCGTCAATTCCTGCTCCAGGACCACATATCCCAGAAGTCCCTGCGGTGCCCCACCGCATTACCTTCTGGGATTTGTAGTCACAGCCACTTGGCTGGAAGCGCGCTCTAGGAGCCACCCGGAGCGTAAAGCGCGAGGGCGTTGCGGCGTTGCCACGCGGGAAAGTGAGGCTGCGCGGACTGAGAAGGTGTCAGGGCGTGCAGTGGGACTTAGACCTTAGGTAAAACGATGTGGGGTGGGTGGAGGATGATTTTGAGGGGCGTTCAAAGGATTGACATGTTTTGCTGCGCTAAAGGGCTTTACCGTTTAGCGAAGGAAGCTAACCAGTTATACACAGTTAAAACGGATTGAAAAAGATTTTAAAACAGACTAATGGGGAAGGTTGTGCCTGCACTGTGGGCTTCAAATGGGAATTAACAAATGCATTGAATCCAGAAGAGAAAATTACCACCTCAAAGTAGCTGATGGTCGTGTCTTGAAAATGGGCAAATGTTAACACAGATAGGTATTTAGGAAATAGATTAAGCATCTTAACAATGCATAAAGCTATATTGTGCTTGGAGACCAGACTTTCTCAACCTGAATACTACAGTGCAGATTAACATTTGGAACTAAATTCTTTCCTAGGGAAAAAGAGTTGTCCTATAGGGTGAGTAGCAATAGTGTCCTCATAAAGTACTTCTGCCGCATACTGAGTAGTATGATGTCTCAAAAAAAAAGCACACATGAAATTTCCTTATAAACTGAAATAGATGCTTTTTTGTATGGAACACTTTTATTTAGAACTGACAAACTAATTATTCAGACTTGCACATTTGACGGGACTTTTCTTGAAACTGAGTAAAAAAGAACTATTAATTCAAGAAAACCCTTGCCAGTGTGTTATCAAGATAAAACTCAAGATGTTATGTGCTCACTGTAATAATGATATTGACAGCTACCCAATACTTCCAGTCAATAATGATATTGACTATCAGGTGTGATTTGTATTTGTAGTCTTAACATGCATTAACATTTGTAAGAACTAAGTGACCCAGTCTGGGGTCTCTTGTGGGTTAGTTTGGTGGGGGGAGGGGTTGTGGTGGTGGTGGTAGTGGTGTGATTGGTTGATTTTTCTGACACAGGGTCTCGCCATGTTGCTCTGGTTGTCCTTAAACTCATTCTGTAGCCCAGACTGGTCTTGAACTTGCAACAGTCCTCCTGCCACAGCTTCCTGAGTGCTGGGATTACAGCACCACCCACCCAGTTCTGTGAACCAGTGTTTTCAAAATAATCAACCAAAACACTGTGGGAACCAGCATCCGATGATCCCTACTCACCTGGCATTCATTTTCTTGTGAAGTTGCTGCCCAAGTTGCAACAGACTATGGAAGATAACAGAAGTGGTGTGAGTTTTAGTACTAATTATAAAAGGCACTATACTGGTGACAATGTTTCATAATCTGCAAAGAAGTCTACAAAGCCCATGTAAACCTGAATCACTGAAAATTCAGAGCCAAATACTGTACTTAGGATTTGTGTAGTTTTCTGTAAGTCGTATTTTCACAGCAGATACACAAGAGATAAAGTCAACAATTGTTGCTTTAGGTTGTGTCCCTTTTCTAGAGATTTCTAGAGGTCTTTTCTAAATCTTTTGTAATTTAAACTGAATCCCTTCTACTCCACTAAAGGTTTCCTCCCATGAAGTTTTTACCACTTTTTTCCCTAATGCAATCACAGATTAACCTTTGGTTCTATTTAATGCATTTCCTATGCTGTCCTTTTATTGACATGAACATCTCCCAAATTGATAAAACTTTTCAAAATATATTAGTAAACATTTACTGGCACTTACGATGAATAAAAGTTCATTCGTTTACAATACAGTTCAATAGGTATTTTTTTCAAACAAGACAATTTCTTGTACAAATTTATACAAGGGAAATATACCTGCGATCGTGTTTCTCAAAAAACCTGTTATTTTTAACACTCTAGCAGTTTCTCCTTTTGAAGACTTAGGATGCCAACACTATAGCAAAAGCCCTGCCCAATACTGATGTATAGCTAAGATTTAGTACTAAAATCTAACAGTAGTGGTGTGGTTGTAGTACTTATCATGGAGCTTCAGTTTGAGTGGCTTTGGGATCCCCCCTGGAGGACTGGGGACATACTTCTGGGTGTGTCTAAGTGGTCATGGGGGCACAGCCCCAAGCTTATAGCTGGTTTCTGCTTCCTCTGCACTGTTTCCTTCTGTTTAAAGCTAGCCTGAACTAAGCAGCTCTGCTCCACCACACATGCCATGTTTCTACCTGGTAACCAACAAACCCTGGACTGAATCCCCTGAAGCTATGAGCTAAATTAAGCCTTTCTTCCTTCATGTTGTGGGCATGGGCATTTTGTCCCAGGAAAGGAAAGTGACTGATACAGGCAGGATTGTAACTAAATCCAGTGTTAGGTGATAAACAGTATCTACTGTTTGATTTCTTTAGTATCTTTTTGACTTTTATAGTTTAGACACTTGATTTCTAGATAAAATGAAAACATTAAGACAAAAACTGTTTTGAGTACTAAAATTTGGTCAACCATTGTATGTTATATTTAGGTACATTATTAAACGTAAAAAAGGGGTCTGGGGATTTAGCTCAGTGGCATAAGCACCTGCCTTGAAAGCAGGCAGTCGTGAGTTCAATCCCCCGTACTGATAAAAAGGAAAAAGACAAAAAAAAAAAAAAAACACGTAAAAGATATTCACCCACCACCCCCAGCTGCCATTTAGTTTACCCAGAGGTTAAACAAAGAAGACATTACAACAAAGTGAAAAATGAAATTTTTATTGTGCCATCTTTCTAAATTAAGGTACTCAAAATTGTGTATTCCAGTCAAAACATACATATACCACAAAGATTGATTTCTAATCTATCAGCAATTTACAGTTTCACTGTATGTGGAATCTAATCTTGTCAGGAGAACTCACCATGAAAGTGAGATTTATATTTTGGGTGGGGAGGTAGAGAAGTTAAGAAAAAAATTTTTAGACATCACACATTTTTCTTTAATTCCAAAGGTGCCACTTGGGAAACAGATGCATGGAGCTACATCTAGCCACAGCTCACCACGCATTAATTATGAATAGTATCACAATAAAATAAAGGGCAGCACAACTAGTCAAGGGAGATGAGGAAGAATTTCATACAAAATTATCTGAAACTCTGAAAAAACTACAAAAGCATTGTAAGAAAAATATAATCAAAGTAAAAGCAATGATGTTTATTTCAGTGAAATTACTTTAAATTAGATATATTAAGCTCCCATATGCCCCAACCTGGTAGAAAAGTTCCTCTCAGTGAGAAATCAATTTTAATGGCAAAATTTTTACATATCAGTAAAATCTGTTATATTTAAAACTATGTGTACAGTACATTTCTGGCAAAAACCTTATACATCTTTCAGTTGTCAAGACAAAGTAAAAATATGGTTGCATCAAATCACAAAAAATACAAATCGCTGAAAAAGATAATAAAAAAAGATTAAAAATCATTGTATTGACTCCCCTTACATCTTCAGTATTAGTAAGAATTTGCAAATTACAATTTGTGAAAATTCTGTTGCAACCTGGATATACTTGACCAAAAGTTGTCATTTCACATATCCTAGCTTAAAAAAAATCTACTGCAGTAGTCTGCAATTATCATACTGTTTGTGTAAGTGCAATATTTGAATACCTTCAAAGTAAAACTCAGTAACTAAAAAGAATCACAATAACTTATAAAACAAGCAAAGTTCACAAAATTAACAATTTTAGAGGGTCATAGTTAACCAGTTCCTCGTTTTGTCAACCCCGCCAGAACAGTTCTTAGAGATCCTTAGTTCTATATATAAATCTGTAACTTTAAAAATACAGTCCTCTGTTCTTGACATCAGGAACATAATGCTGCCATGTAGAGAGCCTAAGTGACACCAATATCCCCATCAAGGGACCACACAGGTACAAATACAGTCCTCTGCTCCTATGTAAATGGAACATCTGGTACTTTATACAGCATTCGGATCTGAAGTTCAGTAGAACAAACCCTGGACAAAAAGAATCAAGATTTTTGTTTTAAATTCAGTGCATTAATATAGAGCTACTGGAGTTGCCATAAACTCGAGTAACCATTTATGCAAGCTACCATGACAGCTACCATTATTGTCTGGTTACATAAGTGCCCTCTGTATTTGACATGACCATCCTAACACAATAAAAAATAAAAAGATCTTTTACAATAGAAAAATGATTAACACACACCAAAATAATAAAAATAATTATTTTTTTCTGTGCTGGAATAAAACCCAGGGCCTTGTATATGCTAGGCTAGCACTGAGCTACATCCTTAGCCCCAATTTATTTAAGTTAAAATAATCCTGGGCAGCCAGAAGCGGTGGCACGCTTGCCTGCCATCTCAGCACTTGTGAAACTGAGGCGGGAAGATTGCTGCAAGTTCAAGGCCAGCCTGAACTATATAGTGAGCCTGTCTCAAAAAATAATAATACTAGCCAAATGTGGACAATATAATATTTATTTATCAACATACACATGATTTCAGTTTTATCTGAGGTGACTAAAATTTTCATTTACACTTATGTGATTACTGAATGAAAAAGTATGTGAAAGATCTTAAACATCTTTAGACAGTTCCCATAATGCTAATTTTTTAAAATAATTAAAACACAAAACAAACTTGGCCATTCAGAAGAACTGTGATTTGTTCTACATTTTAACAAAATAATATTAATGCTGTATCTAACTAAAGAGATACAATAAAATCCAATGTGTAAACTTTAATTTGATCATAGTTTGAAATAACCAGCAATCTGGAAGATAAATGGGGAAATCTAATATGGAATAAGTATCAGATAACAGAAAGCTACTGAACTTATAATGAACTTACAGTAGTTTTCTAAGGAGACTCATTTTTAGAAGACAGTTTAGGTAGGGATGATAAATGTGTCTATAACATCCAAGGAGTTTAGAAAAAAAAAATCATGTATTCACACAAATGTGTATGCGTAACTATATATATGTCTCTGGGTATAGAAAGCAAGTATGGCAAAATGTTAAAGAAACCTAATCTAGATACATAGAATTACTCTACAGTCTTTCAATTTTTCTTTTTTAAAAAGGTTCATGGAGAAGGAGGTCCAGCTAAGCATTTAAGGTTGGTAAGACATGTTCTTTCTATACACTGAATCAGAAGGTCCACAATCAAATGACTAGAGATGTTTGCATACATTCAATACTGGCTGACATAACGAGCCAGGACGATTTGTAAAGTTGCAAAAACATGATTTATATACATTATATGCAACTCAGCTCTTACAACAGACCACTTTACAGAGTATGGGGGAGAAACTGTAAGATAAAAGTAGTGTAGAGAGTATGTGAATATATAAATTCTGGGGATTTGGAGTTATCAAGCTAAAGAAAAAATTTAATCTGAGTATAATACCTGACATAACTTTATTATCATATAGTATAGAATTTTAGGAAGAGGACAAGAAAGAAGTTATCCAGACTGTTACTACTGTTGGAAAATGCTAGCAATTTGACTTAAGAAGCCCAGAACACAGTAACACCTATAAAGGTCTATGGAAATTCTAAGCAAATATTCATTGAATAAATTTATAAAGCAAATATAGAACACATCAACATATATGAAGGCCTTTATGGTAAATTAATATTCTACAAAGCCCTGTATACACTAAATATAAAATAGCTGAAAGTCAAGAGAGCCTGAGAGACCTAATTCATTGCATTTATATTATATTACGCTATATGCCTGTTGAACAATAACAAAATGATCTTTATTTCTATACATTAGGCTTTTAATTATTAATCATGTTTCAATTCCTGTGCAAATTGCATTCCAAAAGGCCAGTCCTCAGTTTTAATTATATACATCTATAACTTGATTATACATGTAAGCATTTGGCTATTATTTATTATGCATGCTTATTGCTATCAAAGAAATAAGCAAAGTTTCAGATTTACTGTGCAAGAATTTTAATTAGATTTGCACACATTTCAAAAAATTCTATTGTATGACTTCCAGGCCTTGGAGTTAAGTCAACAGGAGAAGAATCGAGTGAAGTTACAGATGAGGTAAGAGAAACTTCTGAGGATTTTCCTTGAACCTCAGCATCTGAGTCATTCCTTTGGCAAGATCGATAGTTGCTAATTGATCCCGATCTCTGTGGAGTAGCAGTCCCTGATTTGGCTTCTGTAATTTCATCTGGACAAAAAAAGTTTCAATTTATTATAATTTTTAACTTATTTTTTCACAATATTGATACTGCTGCTTTAGCAGATACTAGTGACTAGCTACTGAGAACATAAATACCTTCTAAACTGAGGCCATATGCCTGTGTTAAACCACAACCCTTTAATATACAACACATATTTTTGCAATCGCTAATCAAGCTTAGGTGCAAAACACAGCTATTCACCCATCTTGCAATCAAAGATTAAGAGCTCAGTATTAACTAATAACCTGGAGTTAAAATTCTCTAGCCATAAAAATTAATCCTTCCATATTAAAGTCACAGTATTCATTCACCTGAAATATGGAAGGTGTCATGGAAATTATATCATTCAAGTTTATTTTATTGATATGAAAGAATCCAGAGATGCTAAATAATTTAAGGAAATTTAAGCTCTCATAAGGGACAACAATTCCATTAATCAAAATCAAAGAAAAACTAGTTGAGAACAAAATCCAAAAAAAAAAAAAGAAAAGAAAATGTCATTGCATTGGTAAGTCCCAGGTGCCAATAGAGGTAAGATTGCAAATTTAATCCAAATACAATGAGTAAAGTAAAACCTATTATCTCAAACTGAGTATATGTTAGCAGATACACAGTATCTGAACATAATCAGACATTTAGTTTTGATCAACATGTTACAGCTTTAATCTATCTCTCCAATGAAATGTAGCGACTATCTTTGAGTTTGTGAAGAAGGAAAATTCATATATGAATCTTAGTTGTAATTCTACATAATCAATAGCTGTAATATTGTATTTGAAAAATTAGTCCTAAAAACATAAACATCAACATTTATTTCTAAATAGTAAAACATTCGGTGTTTCTAAAATGAACCTCACAATAACACAGAAACACATTAGTACCAAACTATATTTTATCTTGACAGATTCAAAAAAACACAGTAATATTAAAGACCAACACATAATAAGGTTTTGAGAATTGTAAGGTTTACAAACATTAGTATCACAAAGGCACAAAAACTCACATTTCCTATTCCTCTATTGAATTACTAGGAAGAAGTCAAGAAACTTCAAAAGAAAGACTAACAAGCCATATTTAGTAACAAGGTCCGAGATGTACATACCATCAATACTACGGAAATCCAGTAAGTAAGTTCTGCTATCCACTTGATATAACTGTAGACTCATTTTGGAGTATGTGCTCGTCACAGGATTCTTCCTTCGTACACGCAAATAATACGGGTTTACAACCTGGCATATGATATGAACAAAAACCAAGCCAAATCAGTTCTTCTGTAAAAATGTTACAGATTACAAGTTTGACAAATGTGTTCTTGTTTAGAATGCTCTTTCCTACCTTCCATTCATAATCCAGCTGTTTAATTGCTCTACATACTTCTGCCATGATGTCATTTGGCCGACTTTGACTTCTAATTCCCAAATGCCATTTTGCTTTCCTTACACCTTGGTGCTTAGATTTCTGTGGATTTAATTCATCGAGGGTATGGCGTGTTCTTGGCATTTCAGCAACCAAGAATGGTACTCGTTCAGGATGGGGGCGAGTTAAATGGTGATCATCAAGGAAAGAATCAGGTGGGCTTGTTGCCAAGTAGAAATCTTTGGCTTCATTCATTATTCTCCTGTTATCTATTATAAGGTGGTAGGCAACTGCCAAAGGGTCCTGGTGATTTCTGTTATAAAGGCAGCTGAGAACCTCTTCTTCTGAACATTCAAATTTTTCACACACTTCTTTTAAGGCTTCATCGTCAATCATGGTTGAGCTATATGATGGATCCTCGGGAAAGAGATATTTTGGAAGGTCCTGTTTAAACCATTCATGCTCCCTAAGAGAAAATGGTTAGGTCAGAAGAATTTTAAGCAAAATAAGAACACAAAGTAACAAATTTAAGGAATATAAGACATAGATTCATTTATATTTAAAGTCACAGTATTCATTTACCTGAAATATGGAAGGTGTCAAGGAAATTACATCATCCAAGCTTATTTTATTGATATGAAAGAACACAGCCATACTGTGTTATTGCTATTATTTTTCAAACAAGGTTTTTTCATCATATATACTAAAAATGGTCCAGCTTCCCTGATTTAAGGACTGATGCAGCAATGGAAGTCTACATTTATATTTAAGGTTTTGGAATAAATGATAGTGACAAAGTACAGTTTACTTCTAGCTCAGAAAAAAAACATGTGTGGCCTCAATGCTCTTGATATATCAGTCAGTGCTGATAATGTGAAGTGAAAAGAATCTGCTGGGCATGGTGGTGCATGCCTGTAATCCCAGCACTCAAGAGGCTCAGGTAGGAGGATCACTACAAATTCAAAACCAGCCTGAGTTACAAAGTGAGCTCAGCCTAGACTGCATAGTGAGACCTTGTCTCAAAAAAACACAAAATGAAAAGAATACAATAATAAAAACAGTAAACTACTAGCATTCACTGAGTCCTCCAATCTTAAGATTTATGCTAAATAATTTATATACATTTTCCTTTCATCCTTGAAACAATTCATAGAAGATAATAACATTCTCATGTTTTAAATGAAAGAATCAAGGTTTTAAGTACATCAAGGAGCTTGCCCAAGGTCACAAAGTAAGACACACAGCCAGGATTTGTAACCCAGCTCTGTGTAGCTCAAAGGTCATGCCCTTATTTCCTTTTCCGGTTCCCTAACTTCATATGTAAAAGGCTATATTTGACTTAAGCAATGTTAAACATCTGTGTCCTAAAATTAAAAGAAAAAAAGAATCAAGAGGAAAAGCCAAAAGAACAATGATTATTTTCTCTTGTTGGTATTTTTCTAAGTATTTTTCAATTGTCATACATTACATTTTAATTAGAAAAAATATGTAAAACAGAAGCAAATGTATTTCTCAGTTATTTTACGACATGTATTTTAGAGAATGTTTGTCCTTTTCCTCTTGTGAGAAAATCATGCCCTAACATTCAGAGGCTCTTTTTTTTTTTGCTAGTCTCTCAGCATACAAGTACAAATGAATCAAAGTTTAAATTCCACATAAAATCTTCTCTTCTCGATTATGCTATTTACTATTCCTGTATCCATATGATTTCTTTCTTCCTTTTCCCTCTATCCTAGAGAAACTTACAATCTAGCCATTAGAAGACCAAGAGAGTTTCTAAAAGGGTGTGGGGATGACAGTAGAAAAGATTTGCAGTGAATTATTTTTAAGTCTGCATCATAAATGGTTCACCTAAATTTTAGAAATACATGTGTTATCATCACTTCTGCCTTAAACTATTAAGTTGAAGCATATGAAATGCCACATTTACCTACAAAACAGCAATTTCATGTGATTCAGATATACTAAGATGAACAAGTCATAGATTAAAATTTTCTCATTCCTTGAAGTTAACAAAATGAGAAAAAAAACCAATTTGTGAAATCAGAACTTAAACACATCAGAAATGTACTATTAAAAAGTCCTCATCCTAATGAGACTGTATTAAAATGAAATCTGAAGCATACAATAGAAAATCCTATAGACCCACTATAAATTTTTATTTGTTATGGCTTGCATCTAGATAATCCTCCAAAGCCTCATGCACATATGTAGAGCTTTAAAGAATTGGCTGGTTCTAGGATTTGTGAATATGGATTAAGGATATATGATAACCAAATTGGTTTAGCACAGTGGTGTGGACAATGGACCAATCAATATATCTGTAATCTGGATAGAAAATAAAAGGACAGAAAGACGACATGCTTGCTACTTGCTGCCTTCCTACCTGCCATGCCATCAGCTGTCCTCTGTGATATCGTCTGGCATGCCACTCTGCCATGGAGCCAGACAACTATGGACCAAAACCTCAGCAAACTATGAGCTAAAATAAACCTTTCCTCCTTTAACTTGTGTCTGTCAGGTATTCTGTCCCAGCAACAAGAAAGTAACCAAGACAACATCCTACCAGGATCCTTTTTGTTCATTAGCTTTTTAAAGTGTTTTGGTTTATTTTGGAGTGCCAGATAGCAAATCCAGTACCTTTCAATGTTAGGTAGCATTCTACCATTGAAGTACACCTTCAACCCATCAATAGCAACTTTAAATTTTGTAGCTAAAAATGGAGCCTAGTAATAGAGTGCTTGCCTAGCATACGTGAGTCTATAGATTCAATCCCCATTACTGTTAAAAATAAATGACAACAAATAAAGTAATATAATGGTCAGTGTATGAATGTCAAAACAAGGCTGCATCAGTGAAAAAAAAGGCCTCCTACCAGTCTTACCTCCATAAGTAATCAATTCATTATATTTTAATACATAAGTAAAACAAACATGTTCCTATACTGTATTTTTTCAACCAAAAGCAGGACTGCACTGTATATTCTGTTCAAAAACTTTTCTGTCACTTAACTTAGGAGTATTATTATGAGATCTGATAATTTCCAAAATGCTTTTAATACCTGATATCTTTTATTGTGGCCCTCTTCATGGGATCCACTTGCAGCATGTGTTTCAGAAGGCTAATCACAGAAGGATTTAAATACTGAGGGGTATAAAAAATCCCATCACATATCTTCTTAAAAAGAGTTGGCACATGATCATCATCAAATGGGAGGGTTCCACATAATAAAGCATAAAGAATAACCCCACTGCTCCATATATCTACTTCTGGGCCTGCATATAATCTGTAATAAGAAATACCAATCTCATGAAATAACCAATAATATCAGACTCAATCAATTAATCAATTTCAAATACAGATTATTTCATAAAGAGTACTCACAATATGGCTTTATAGCCACTGTTGCATGTTACACAAAGATCCTAACTATATCAATATTATGAAATTTTGAAAAAGAAAGTAAACATGTTTTATAAATTATGAACCATGGTGAAAACTGTGTTCTTGCTACATCACAGTGATATTCAAAGGATATCACTGATAATGCCAAACTTTGAACAAACATCACTATTAAATTTTAAAGCACTAATTTTTGGTTACAAAGAGAAAATTAAATTCTTTAGTAACAGACTATAAACTAAAGGCCTCCTACCAAGTTAAAAAGAGCTTAAGGCTGTGGAAAGAACTCAAGCTAAATGGTTCATGGAGAAAACAGCTATTTCTCTAGTACTATGGACTGAATTTGGGCCTTCACACTAAGCTACATTCTCAGCCTGTTTTGTTTTGTTTTGTTTTGTTTTTTGCAAATGTCACTAAATCACAAATTGCTATTATAAAATGCCATCTGTTTGAAAAATTAATGCTACACATTATATTACACTTCATTCTTCATGTAAGTAGATTTCAAGTTTTCAGTGTCATACCTGCATTTACTTATTTAGGTTCCTCTGGGTTTTTGGAGACAGGTTCTTGCTATATAGTTCAGGCTGACCTTAAACTTAATGTAGGGCTGGGGGTACAGCTCAGTGGCATAGCACCTGGCTGGCAAGCATGAGGTCTTGAGTTCGACCCCTGATACCAAAAAAACCTTTCTGTGTATCCCAGGCTGACCTCAAACTTGAGGCAATCCTCTGGCTTCAGCTTCCTGAGTAATGGGTACACAGGTATGGACCACCATACCCAGCCTACCTACTTTAAAATTCACTAGCTTTAAATTTAATGTCTTCCACCAGGGGAAAAATTAAAGTACTCTTGTAATATAATGTTGATTTTCAGACCAACATTCTCCTCTATAAAGTCCTTAACCTTATTCATTGTAATGTTTTATTCTTCAAAAACAGAGTATTTCCAGATTAAAAAAAAAAAAAAAAAGAATAAGCCTTGTATGTCTTTTTATCACTAGAATATAACATTAGATTAACAAAATCTAGGAGAAAACGACAATCACAAATACACTGGGGGTAGGAGGTGTCAAACACTACCTTCCTGAAATTACTTCTGGCGCAGCATAGTTGGGTGAGCCACAACTTGTTCTTAAAAATTCACCATCTGACATCATGTTTGAAAGACCTGAAAGTGCACAAAAACAGCTACTCAAAGATTTCCCAACGACAAATGTAGAAATGAAACCCCATCAAACAATAAAACTGAATTTGCAGTGAAGTGATAAATCAACATTCTGTTTTTTGTTTCAATCAGCCTTTATTCCCAAACATATAATTTCAAAGGTTAAAGTCAGTGTGTTGCTAGAGTTTAATGAATATATATTAAATCACTAGTTACTTTGCTTACTAGAATAAATTTTTCATGTTTGTTTTTCTTTTTTTGAGACAGGCTATTTCTACACAGTCCAGGCTCACCTTCCATTTACAATCCTCCTGCCTCAGGCTCCAGAGTGCTGAGACTGTAGGCACATGCACCTATGCCCAGCTAATGTTTAAATTTTATTCAGACAGAGAATGCCAGGGAAAATAATCTCAAGTAGAAGAATTAAAAGTCAGTTTCTATTAATGCTGATCTGATTGTTTCAAAACAAAATTTTAAAAAGCATTAAAGTTCTCTCATAGTTTTACTCCAAAAAGAAACATCTGTTCCAAAATAGTAAAAGATACTCTAAAAAGATAATCAAGAGCCCAGTGAAGAGGTACACACCTACAATCCCAGCACTGGAAGGCTGAGGCAGGAGAATCTTATTTTTTAAGATCAGCCTAGGCAACTCAGTAATGTAGTAAGAACCTTGTCACAAAATATAAAGGGCTAGGAATATAGCTCACTGTGAAAGCCCTCAGTTCAGTCCCTAGTATAAGGAAGGAAAAAAGAAAACAAGAGAGGGAAGAAGGGGAGAAGAAAGAAAGGAAGTAAAGTAATTTAGTTCAAAAGCAGAAAAACAGCCAAGTGTGGTGATGCACACCTATAATCCAAGCACTTGGGAGACTGAGACAAGAGGACCATCAAGGCCAGCCTGGTATACAGAGTAAGTCAAGGCCAGGCTGAATTATAGCAACCTTAGAAAGAAAGAGAAAAGGAAAAGAGAGAGTGGGGTAGGACACACACAAAAAAGCTCTTATCCAGGAGCTCAAAACTGTTTGAGACATAAATTTCTAAAATTTAAAGTAACATATTCAGAAAACTGAATATAGTATTTATAAAATTTCCTCTGCTTAAACTAAAGCAACCAAGAGTTTCAGAGCTTCACTTTTCTCTTAGGTTTAATAATGTCAATCTATATAGGTAATAAGGGAAAAATAAATTCACTTTTTACACTCATGTTTCGTAAGCTGAAACTGAAATTAGATTTCCTATCACTTAAAATACTTTAATTTTTAAACTTTTTGTTCAAGTTCACCTTCTGCCTTTCAACTTTAAATAATTCCATCCCATTCACCTTCCTTTTTCTAGATATTGAACAAAAGAATAAACTGGACAAGACTGCTACCTTCTCCTTCGACAAGAGTGTTCTCTTTTCAAATGATCTTTCTAAGGCTGCCAACTTAAACTGTTTATTTACTGGCATAAAATTGTAAGACATAAGGCTAAGAAAAAAGAATACCTTAGCTTTTCTCCTTTTTGTGTGCTCAAGGATGAAAAAAGATAGTTGGTCTCTCAATGACAAAAATAGGATACTGGTCTATTACATGAAAATTACCTGAAGAACGATACTTATGTGTATTATACATAATAGACAGATGCGCCATAAAAACAGCCTTACCAAAATCCGCTATCTTGGCATTCATATGTGCATCAAGCAGGACATTTTCAGGTTTCAAATCTCTATGGACCACCATATGCCTGTGACAGTAATCCACGCCAGAAAGGATTTGCTGGAACAAACGTCGACTTTCCTTTTCATCCAGCTAAGAAAAGTAGAGAGGCATCTTAAAGGTGCATCTTTCAAAACCAATTTTCCTACCAATAATTCTCCAGACTCTAAACTTGAAATCTGAGAAACCTTCCAAAGAATTTCATCCATGAAATTTTCTAAAATGAACCAAGATACAACGCACAAAGCAAGAATGGTAGGATCTTGGAACCCAAACCAGCATTTTTATATGATTACATCTTGTAGTAGGTATTATAATCTATTTCAAATAATTTCAGTTTCTATGTGACACTTGGTATGCTTTCTCCTAAATATTAGAAATGTTTAATTCTCCATTCTTTTAATATTTACTGAACACCTTCAGAATATCAGTTTTAGACTGTCATGATATACCACTGAATACAACAAAGACTCAACAAAAAAGACAACAAAACAAATAAATGTAACATCAGGAGTGAGAGTGCTTTGACAAAAATAAAGCATAACAGGAAATGATATTGATATGCAAGATACTCTTCGATGACTGAGAATATATTGGTTAAGCATTGTTTATGAATTAGCAAGCAACAATATTATTTCCTAAAATAAAAGATGTTTAACAAAAGAGAAACCTTACTTCATCTTACATAACTTACTGTACTCTAAAAAAGTTACTTATCCTGCAACTACATTTTTAAATATTCTTTAAAAACTTTTCTATCCAATATTTTTTCTCAACATAAGTGATGACGTGTATATGCTTGTTCCCATCATATTTAATAAATAAGCTATTAATCATCCAAGCAAAGAACTCTCAATTCTCTGATAAGTGTCAAATTAGCAATCCAAAACCTGAATTCTTCTCCTTGACTGGCATGGATAATCTGGGACAGCCGAAATACTAGTAATTTTTTTGAAAATGAAAGTATGACTAACTACTGAACCATTATGAACAATCCTACTACAAAAAAATTAGAAAAGTCAAAGCATATTCTCAGTTAAACACAGCAGATTGTATCCTTAAAATAATCACTAAAATAACATCAGCAATAGAAGAGGCATATAATGATAGAATAACAAAAGTAAGAGACAGCAGTCATCAAGAAGAGTTACCCTGCTGAACAGTAGATGAACAGTGATAAAGACTTGCCCCAGAAAAAGCAAAACCTCAGTCTATGGGGGAGTGGGTAGTAAGAAATAAACTCATCAACACACGGAACCCTGGAAAAGGTTAGAAATTGGAAGCATCAGCAACTCCATAAAGCAGAAATGGTAGATAAGCGGAAAACAGAACCACTGGGTTGAAGTAAGCAGCTTTTAAATTGACCCCTACTGGGGAGTAAGACCTATAGGTTATTCTAGTAAGGCTGGACCAGCTGTGTTGTCAAGGACGTAAGACAGAGATGAGACATCATGAGGAAAACGTGTGGGTTAAGTGAAGCCAACAGGTGAGACTTGTAGCCATCGTCCCCACTCAGTTCTAGTAGAACTGACAGCTAAACTAATGCCTTCTAGTGGAAGGTTTCTTCTGTAACACGTCGGATTAAAAAAAAAAAATGTTACTAATGACATATAATGTACCTTAATAAAATGGACAGGTTGCTACCAATTCAACCTAAAACAATTCCCACCAATCAGTTCCACTTGTATGAGTTTGACATTCAGTAATTTACTGTTAACTGTACAGGAAGTGGAAAACCAAGAAACACAATATAGCTGAGCAAGGACCATGAACAAAAGAAAGGAGCAAGTAAAATCAAGAAAAAAAAGTGCAATTTTAAAGCACAGAAGGTACAAAACAGCAAAGAACTGAAGATGACTTTAAAAACATTACAAAACAAGAAAAAAAACTCATCCTCTAACAGCTAAGATTAAAACATCTGTGGAGCAAAAAATAGCATGTTGGTTTTTTAGTATTGAAGGAGATCTGTTTGTTTTTGTTTTGTTTTTTGAGACTGAATCTTGCTATATATTACTCGCTGTCCTGAACTTGCTATGTAGCTTAAGATGACCTCAAACACATAATCCTCCTGCCTCAGCCTTCTGGATTGTAAGAATATAAGAATAGGGGCTGGGGATTTAGCTCAGCTGCATAAGCGCCTGCCTTGCAAGCAGGCAGTCATGAGTTCGATCCCTGGTACCGATGAAAAGGAAAAAGACAAAAAATAAATAAATAAATAAATAAATAAATAAGAATATAAGAATGTACTACAACACCCTGCCCCAGACTTCTTAAAGAAAACTTTAGAGAGCCTCTGTCATAAAATATGACAACCAAAATTCTATCATTCAAAAGGCAAAATTCCCACAATATGAAACAATAGTCAAGAAATGAAAAACAGAAGAAAAATATATCAATTCAGTTTGGCCCATTTCCATTTTTCTAGGCAGACGTTTTTTGGGAGCTGGACATATGGGGAGAGTGGAGAGGGGAGGCAGGGTGTTGAGAAAAATGCCTAAAGTAGAAATTAACCATGTTAAAAACAACAGTAAAATAAACTTGGGTAATAATTTGATGAAGCAGACATGCTATAAAGAATGAATGAATAGGGGCTGGGGATTTAGCTTAGTGGCGTAAGTGCCTGCCTTGCAAGTATGTGGTCATGAGTTTGATCCCTGGTACTAAAAATAAAAAATTAAAAAAAGAAAAATGGAGCTTTTGAAGCTTTTACATATCAGATAACCTGCGTATGAAAAAAAAGTAAGGGCAGCGAACAGTATTCAGCTTTTTTTAATCTATGATGTAAAGTACTATTGAAAATGTTTTCTTGGGTACATCCAGCTCTAAATTCTTTATATCTAATTCCTACCTCTTTCATGAAGCCTGTTCTTACTACTCCAGGAACATCAGATTTTTGAAATCAAAAACTGAATGTAATTTAAATGTGGCTATGGCTGGGGATTTAGCTCAGCAGCACAAGTGCCTGCCTGGCAAGCAGAAGATTGTGAGTTTGATCCCAGGTACCAAAAAAAAAAAAAAAAATTTAAATGTGGCTACAGGTGACTACTAAGGCCTAGCTATTTAACAGCTTACCAGTATATTTTATGTATAACGAAGGTGTAAGTCAGATTATGAGTTCTGGGGTCTCAATGCAGTTCTCACTGACAAATCATGTGACCCTGAGCAAATATATACACTATAAGGCTCAGTATCCACATGTTTTAGCAGACTAAGAAAATCATTTTTTTTTTAATTTTTTTTGTCTTTTTCTTTTTTATTGGTACTGGGGATCGAACTCACAGCCACATACTTGCAAGGTAGGTGCTTATGCCGCTGAGCTAAATCCCCAGCCCCAAGAAAATCATTTTTAAAGTCCATTTAGCTATGAATAGTCTATGATCTTAAGCAAGTACAGTAAGTCCCTGACTTATAAACAAGTTCCATTCTAGGACAACTGTTCATAAATCATTCATTCATAAGCCAACAAAGTGAGTCTTATACAGCACACCTGTGAAAGTTTGAACTCAGCTGTTCCTAAGTTGGGTACTTACTATACATGAAAAAAGCTTGTTACAAAATAGGCCTCTTAAAATTGCTTTCTGGCATTGTGATGCTAGTAAGCGATAAGGAGAGTTACAAAATATATACAGGATTAAATCAGAACTGCTTACCCTTCCATTTTTACAGATATAATCAAATAGCTCTCCTCCTGAGACATATTCCATCACCATGAAAATATCAGATGGTGTACTGATGACCTGGTACCTGGTGAGAGAAAACATTATCTACTAATATTAAAACATGTATATTCATTCATTCAGTAAATATTAATTAAGCACCAGCAGTATACCAGGTAATGTGCTAATAGCTAGGAACACTACAGGAAACAAAGCAAATTCTGTGTTCTCATGGTCCATGTTCTAGGAGCCAGGTAACAAAAAGCAGTATTTCAAGTGGCAGAACATGCTATGAAGAGAAATAAAGCACAATCTTCTGTACAGCATCATCGAGGAACGCTTCTAATAAGGTAACATTTGAGAGAGCCTGAAGAAAATAATGAAGCAAACTATGGCCTTATCTGGAAGGAAGTGAACAAGGGAGAGAGAAGAGCAACTGCAAAGGCCCCAGGTGGAAGCCTGCTTGGCGTGTTCAAGGAATGTAAGAAGGCAATAGCAGAGCAACCTGGGAGAGAAACAGGACCTGGAGTCGCAAGTTTAACTGGAGGCCAAAAGACACAGAACTTTATAAGCCGCAAAGACATTCTTGAGTTTCACTTGAAAGAATATAAAAGCTAGTGATAGTTTTAAGGAGTCGTGTGCTGTGGTATATTAAAAGGGTGACTGCCACGTAAGAACGGACTGTGGAAGATAAAGGTGGAAGAAGGAGATTACTGGCGTAGTTCACGAGAGACTGGCTCAGATCAGTCTAATCATGACAAACACTGACAAACGGGTCAGGTGTGTTTGACCGAAGAGATGGAACGGGTGGTAGGAAGCAAGGGAAATAGGAAACTAAGAATGGCTTCTAAGTTTCTGTTCTTAAGCAACTGTTAAGCAATGGTGAAAACTATGGGAAGAGTAAGCCTAAGATGGCATGAAGAGTTCAGATGTGACTATGTGGAGTTTGAAGGGCCTCCTGGACATCTAAATGGAGATGTAAAGTAAGCAGGGGGATAGAAGTCCAGGGTGCAGAAAAGAGGTTTCAAAACAGGAAATGTACACTTAGGGATCATTGCCATATCATACTTAAGCCACTGCAACAAATGAGAAGAGATGAAAATGAAACAATTAGCCAATGCAACAGAAAGTCTAAGCAGCTTCGTGGTCTGCATAATAAAGCAGGAGCTAAGCAATAAATAAGTAAACCCTACAATTGGCAATTGTATGACTACAGCCCTATTAAAATACTACATTCCTGAAATTTTATTTGCATGACCAAATATAAGCAATACAGGGAAACTCTAGTGCACTTCTGTAGTGAGGCTAATTAACAACACATGGAAATAGGGAGGTACAGAATTTTTGCTAGCAAACAAATTGCTGGTTCTACAGGAATAAAAGCACTAAACTCTACTAGAAGAGCATCTGTCCAGAAGACAGGACAGAGTGAGGAGGATGATGGTAATATGCACAAAGTTAACACGTGAAAATGAGCCTATTTAACAATGGTAGATAAATACACAAACAGGAAAATGGGCAAAGCTGACAGTGTTAGATAAATACATAAACAGGAAGAAACTTCAAGCCCTTACAAAAGAGGAAGAATTATCAGTCATCTTTCTCACTTGTCAGATTAGGAAAGTTAACGAAAGTGATAAAAAGATGACGGGAACATATTTAATATAAATAGAGCTTACAGTTTAATTATATGAGGATGCCTGAAAAGCTTGAGGTTCTGAATTTCTCTGCGGATTTTTCCTACCACATCAAGGCTTCGAATCTTCTGTCGATTGAGTATCTTCACAGCAACCTTATGCCCAGTCAATTCATGTTTGCCCACTGCAGGAAAAATAATTTGAATAAATTAGTACCAGAATTGGTTGACAATATATTTTGATGTATTGGCAGGTTTAATTTTTTTTCTCTTCTGCCTAATTTCACCTCCAAAGATTTCTTCTCTAAAGAGAAGAATAAATATGAAAGTGATAACTGATTTCTTCAAGAAAGCTGGAAGGCTAAGGAGAGAAAGAAAAAGATTCTTTTTGCTGCATGTTTTATTCTGTTTGAAGTTTTTTTCATTTTTTAAACTGACATTACCTATAAATTGAAGTTTTTATCTTCCAGTTGTATGAATTTTAACATGTAGAAACTAATTTAACTACCATTATAATCATATGCTACAGAACTTTCATCACACCCCTCCCCTGGAACTCCCTCATGCCACAGACACAATTCCGTTAGCATCAATAATCTTCTGTACCATTTGGATTTTGGCTCCATAGGCACATGGTATGTTTCAAAGATGAAGTTAAAATTAGAAAATAGACCTAGAGATGTAATCAGTGGTAGAATGCTTGGCTAGCATGCACAAGTCCCTGGTACTACACACACACACACACACACACACACACACACACACACACACGCGCGCGCACATCAAGATTTTATCTTCTAAATTTGAATGCTATGCCCAGACACCAATGGTCACAGAATGCAGATACTGCTATAGAGGCAAAGTCTCCAAATTTTTTACTTTTGTGCCTCTTTCTCAAGAATCTACTCAAGAATGTATAGTCCATCAAAATAGAGAAGGACACTAAGAAAAATGGCAGGGGCTCTCGTAAAAAAAGGGATCCAATATGGGTGAAAAATAGATTTCTCAAAATGGTAACCAAGGAAGAGTACAGATAAAGATGTGAAGAAGGTCCAGACAGCAACACATACAGATAGGAAAGCAACAGAGGATCCAAAATAGTTCCTCTTAGGGGTCTGTGTGTGGGTGAGCTTGTTATCCATCTGACAGGTTTGAAAGTATGGGAGAGTATAAAAGCACTAGAAAATAAGGGAAATTTAGCTTTAGGTTTGAAGAAAACTAAAATGAAAAAACTAAGTTCATTTATTAAGTCCAGAAAAATGTTAAAAGTTCTGTTAAGAAATAAAACAGTTTGTTGGAACTAAATAATAATAACCAGTAATTACTGTACATAATAATTGCTAAGGCAAGAAAACCAAAAGACTATGATACAAAAATTAGAATTTAAAAATAGACATTAAATTTGCCCAGGGCATGTATTGGTATTTCAGGAAAAAATATTAACTATTTTTAGAGGGATCAGAGAATATAATCCAGAAGTTATGAAGGAAAAGTAAAGCAAGAATTTTATAGAACTATTAAAATCATTTAGAAAGCATCAAGATATACCAATACTGTGAGAAAAATTTATTAAGCAAACACCAAGAATAAGAGGGAAAGTAACAGCCATAGAACAGGTACTCCACTTAGGTCACTTCTGGAATAATAATAAGCAAATGTTACTGCCTGTGAAAAATAACAGAAACCCCCCAAAAAGAATAAAATCAATAACCAACAAGATTATACTACAAAGCTTTTTCTAATACTTGAGAATTTCATCAAATTATAAAATAGAAGAAAATAGATGTGATTTATTCACTTTCAAAATAATACAAGAAATGACAAAAGTACAACTGCATTTAAAACTGAAGACAGTGTAAAAGCACAGCGTGGGCTTTACATGCCTGTAATCGTAGCAGTTGGGAAGCTGAGGCAGGAGAATCACTGCAAATTCGAGGCCAGCCTGAATTAATACAGTAGGTTCAAGGCCAGCCTAGAATACAGTGAGACCCTACCTAAAAAAAAAAAAAAAAAAAGAAAGAAAGAAAAGAAAAAGAAAAAGAAAATGAGGACAGTGAAGGGGCCCAGAGAGTAACTGGTAAATCACTCAAACTCATATACATACACACACACACACACACCATTAAGAAACAACCAAATAGGCAAAAACAAGTTAGTTTTTCTTTTTGTCTGTTAAATAGAAAATCAGTACGCTTTTTTTTTTTTTTTTTTTTTTTTTTTTTTTTGGTGAAGACACCAAGCAGTAGATTTAACTCCATTTTCATGATTGAGTAACCAATAGAACATTCCAGAAAAGCAAAAGGGCAGCCAATGCCCTATGTGAGCAGTAAGGGTGATATTACATTATCCATTATCGCCTCCCACAAAAAGTGTAATCCTTCTCCTAAGACTTTCACTGAGAATTAAGTAGATAAAAATGTGCCTAAGTAGGCATATTTCATTGTATTTTAAAAGCATAAAAGACTCCAAACAACCTAAATGCCCAATTTCAAAGAGGAGTATAAAACAGTTATCCCAACATAACATAACTCCTAAGAGGAAAAATACAAAAAAATGTTCTTACAAACCGTGTGTGTGTGTGTATATATATATATATATATATATACACACACACACATATATATCCAACTACAGAAAAATACATTAAAATGATAACTTGCTAAACTTTATTTTATGGCCATTTTTTTTCAAATTTTACTCAGTTTTACATTTTTTAACCTTTAAAATATTCCAAAAGTAGGGGAAGGAGGACAGTAATAGTGAATTCATCTTTGTCAGGAGTAGAACTGAACACTAATTCCACTACCGCATGAGAAAGCAATATGTACACAGACTACAGATGTTGTAAGTTTCAGTTTTATTCCTGTTGAAGGAATAGCTATTTGACCAAGACAAGTTAAAAAGCCCCAGCCATTTACTCATCTGTAAAAATAAGAATATGACATTCCATAGGTGCAACCATCATAATACATTAAATAATGTTCGTAAGGCACTTTCCATAGCACTCAGTACACAGAAGAAGACAGATAAAAATTTGGTAGCTGTTATTATTTAGGTCTTTGACCTGTGCTTTCTATTCATTTAGCTTCATGAGCATCCCTTTATTTAGACACACTGGAAATGCTAAGTCATAGCTGTCCTTCTTAGACATGTACACATTTCATGCAACCTGCTACACCATCCATACTGCCAATACTACCACCAATCAGGAGATTTGTAGCTTCTAAAGTTCAACACATTTCCTAATTTTGGTTAATATTCAACAGCTATCCAACAGACATACATACACACAGTACCTGTCCTTGACAGTGATTTCGCTTACTAAAAACTACAGGAATACTTACTTGGTCACAGAAGAGCAGAGAGGGATTAAATTAAGCAAGAATTTTTTAAATGAATACAATTTTTATATTATAAATCTAGTTACACATTTATAGTATGTAATATAATTAAGGGATATATCTTACCAGTTATTATTTGTACATAATAATCATTTTACATGCATATGTACTTTGTACTAAATTCTTGAAGGCTGGTATTATAAGCAACATTTTATAGCAAACTGACAACACAAAAAGACAAAATAACTTGGCCAGTTGCTCAGCTGATAGTGGCAAACCCAACACTGGATCCCAGGTCTCATCAAAAATTCATGCCTTTTCCAAAACCTGGCAAACAAAATGTGATAAATCTTTTTAAAAGTAATCCCCAGGAAGACATTTATGCAATTCCTGTGTAAATATTAACACTGTATACACACCCTTTTAATAAAATATAAAAGTTTAACATGAGAGGAATCTTTAATTTACAGTCTTGTATTTTTGAAAATAATACACTGAATCCTTCATATTAGGCATAGGCAGAGCTCAAACCTGAAATCCTCCACTCCCCCTGCACCAGCGTTGTGTCTTGTATCTAGATGTCCCCCAAAGCCTCATGTACTCATGGGTGGGGCTTTTCAGAAGTGGCTGGATGGGTCTGTGATAACTAAAAGCCCACTGCTTAAGATAGTTCTGGGTATGGATAATGGAAGCCCTAGCCTGCATGTGAGTTGGCACCAACCAATGGGTGTATAGCCTGAATGGAATTTTAAAAAGGAAAAAAGGAAACCTGCTGCTTCCTACCTGCTCTGCCATGGACTCTTTTTCCTATGGTGTGGTGCCCTGCCCTGAAGTCAGCCAACAATGGAATGAAACCTCTACAAACTGTTAATAACAGTAAAATAAACCTTTCCTCCTTTAACTAGTAGGTGTTGGGTATTTTGTCTCAGCAATGAAACTACGACATTCAGCTTTTCAGAGTGGTGGGTTAGAGGCATACACAACACACCCAGGTGAAAAGTAAGTTAGTTAATTAGTTATTGCAGTACTGGAGATTGAAATGAGGGCCTTGTGCTTACTCAGCAAGCACTCTACTTCTGAGTCACAATCCCCAGCTCAAGATTTCTTATGCGGAACACACTGTATACAACAAGAACAAACAAATGTTCACCCCATACGAATGTCAGTTACCTTGCTGTGCCCTCATACAATGCTATCCTGAGAGTTCCTCAGCCAGAGGACTCTTGTTCCTAGCATACTACACATCCCAGCTGCACTGGTTTCCCGCTTTTTAAAGTTGTGTGCTATCCTCCATAGTGTACAGTAATCAATGGATATACCCACTTTTCCAATGTTCTAATTATTTCGATGGACTAGAAAACTCATAAACTAATATTATTAACATAGATTTCCTGAAATATGTTGCTCAGAGCATTAAGACCAGAAATTCTCCACAGAAGGAGATTTCCTAAATCTGGGAAAGGTACAGTCTCATTTTTGAAGTCTCACTTATTAATTAACAAGTAAAGGCTCCGAAAAGTCCTACAGTTAAAAAAAAAGGGGGGGGGGGCAGTTATATAGCTTAGTGGTGTAAGTACCTGCCTGGGAAGTGTGAGGTCCTGAGCTCAATTCCCGGTACCAAACAACAAACAAACCTGTAAGTCTTGTTTTGTTTTTGTTATTTTCTGGGGAGAAGGTATTGAGGAATTTTGTTTCTATGTGCCTTTCACATCTCTAGAAAAAGAATCCCAACAGGCGGCTAGGTAGAAGGGAGACAAGTTTGAAGATAGCCTGGACAACTTAGCAAGATCCTGTCTCCGGGATAGATAGATAGATAGATAGATAGATTATTAAAATGAAATTAC